GGCACATGACCATGACTGGGCCAATTGCCAGCCCAAGTACAAGGTACCAAGGCAGCAGTTCATAAGGACATGAGATAGAGGTGTTGTGTCAGGCACATGAAAGGTCATGTGCACCTGCTATTAGGAATTCTCTCACATTTTCATGGTCAATGACATGCTCATGTCCAAAAATGAAGTGCCACTCAGAAGTGTGACAAAATCAAGCACCCTGACTCAACCATGGTTGAACATATCCAGCCTTCACAGGCCAGCATAGTAAACTTGGGTGATGAACCAAACTGGGGACTCTGAGTCCATCCTGCCAAGCCATACAGACTCAGTGGCCATCTGCCAGAACTGTTCAGGCTCTTAAATGGACCTGGAACATCCTAACTTGCCCTTCCCCCAGTGTTCAGCATCCCAGCCAGCTGTCACCCAACACGAACCCAATACCCTATAAAACCCAGCCAATGACAGGGAAGATCCTAGGTATGGTAAGTGGCAGCCCATAATTATGGTTGGGTTAGAAGTCTGGTATTGGAGGGGTGATGGGCTCAATGGCTTGCTGGACTCTAAGATCTCACATACCAAGCTGTCATAATCTTAATTTCCCTCCCCTCCCACATCTCTCAGATCATCATTCAGCACCCAGCTGAACATTAACCCCATCCCCCACCACAACAGGCCAATGCTGCATACTCCCCTCTGTAATGGAGCCAGGGGCTACTGTTACCTTAAGAAAATGCAGTGGGCTAAGCTGGATGTATAGGGCATCAACTGAGGAGCACAGGGTGGCCCTTAAGTAAAGGTAAAACTCCTGTGTGTGGCTGGGGAGCCACATGATAGGAAGAAGGTGTGGCTTTGAGGTATATAAGCCCAATGGCCTGAGCTAGCATAGGCATTCTGGCCATGCATGCTGGAGGGAGAGGAGCTGGGGTAGATTTAGGGGCTCAAGCAAGAGCTACTCTTTGACCTAATGTATGTTGTGCATCATGCACTCACTGGCTTCCAGGCGTCTTCACACACCTAGTGATCCTTCAGATGCTCAAAAGCACACTCCACATCCATTCTGCAGCTGCTGAGCTAGTAGTTGTACAGTTCCTTCCAAGCATCCAGTGAATGGCTTCATCAGTCATGGGTGCAGTGGGTAACTAAGGTCTCAGATTAGTAGCAGGGGTACAGTTACTCCCTCAACATGGATATAAGGGACAAACTCTCTCTATTCCAACAGATCAGGGAGGACTGTGCTCTTAAATATCCTGGCATCATGCATCCTGCCCAATCAGCTGATGTTCACATGTATGAAATGGGCATGGTGGCCCACAACTGCCTGAAGCATGATTTAGAATAGTCCTTCTGGTTTATCAATTAGTGGCCATAGTGTACTGGGGGAAGTGTGTGTAGTGAACAGCTCCATCACACTTGGCAAATCCATCCGCAACTTTTGTGAGTCAGCAAGGAGTAGCATAAGCACGGGCACACTTACTGAATTGCTAGACTCTGCCTCTACAGCTGTTCACTTGCATATACTGAAAGTATGCTAAAATAGACTGGAGGCTGTTTGGGGTCATGAACTTCCACACAGTGGTGCCAATATGCAACTCCAGGGATAAGGGCACTATTACCACCACTCTTTACTCCTATGTGCATGGGGCAAGCTTGGTGTAGATTTCCATGAAAGTCTCCCTAGACATGATTGTCAGGGTGCAGATTCACAATTGGGGCCTGAGCCTAATCAGTATTGCCACTCATTTTGTACTGCCACCCTACAGCTGATCCCCCAGGTTGGGTAAGTTTGTCCTGAAGCCTCTATCAGGGCATAGTTCTCTGCCCACTCCCTGTCAACAGAGTGGCCAAGCAGGGGCAGCTGATTTCCTACTTCCCCCATATAAGCTACTGAGCCGGAACAGAAAGAAAGGAGGGAATAGGATTCAACCTGATTCTAGACTGCTTTGCTATTCTCTCTGGTCTGCTGCTTGCTCTATGCTTCTTGCTCCATGAGGCTCATCTCCTGGCTTCTCAACCCAGTTTGCTCTGAAACTCCACTGTGCTTGATTTCCTGGCTTCCTGACTCAGCTTGTACCTTTCCAACTGACCTCTTGGCTTCTTGATTCAGCTTGTCCATGTATTCTGCTAATTTCTTCTGACCCCGGTTGGCACATTGATCCCTAAGTAGCCACAGACCTGGCTATCCATGACCTGATGTGACAATTATATGGTTTGAACGTTACTTCTCATCATCCCAGGCGTGATGATGATCCACTCCTACCTTCAGAGATGACCCAAGTAGAGTGCAGGACCCAGAGCAAATCAGCCTGGGTGGGGCTCCACCTCTGGATGTGAAGAAGCTGGCAGCGGATTTGGCAGTTGGGCGGAGGGGTGGGGGATGCTGAGCAGCCGGATGTGCCAGATTCGGTGGTGGATTCAGTGGCGGGTGCTGAGCACCTGGCCAGCTGTGAAGCCAGAAGCAGCACGGAGTTGCTGCGGCCACTCTGTCTGGCTCTGTGGACCCTCCTGAAGTGCAGGGCCTGGGGAGGTTGCCCCATTTCACCCCCCACACACACCCAGGGACAGCCCTGCCAAACAGTTACTGCTTATCTTTCTGCCCCAGAAACAGTGCTCCAGGGTTAGGAACTGCTCCTACATCTGTCTGGTCACAATGTGCTCATCTTCAGGGTTGTGGCTGATGTCAGTGGACTAAGATTTTGATGTAGCCATGGACCGTGTATTGTTTGGCACCCAGCAGATGTATTCCCTGCAAGTACTGTGATGGCTGTGAAAGCTTGGATGGTGCCTCCTGCACAAAAATGCAAGAGAGTGGCTGGGGCAAGACTGGACTGTGGTGACAAGTTGGCCACAAAGACAATCAAACTCCACTAATGGTTGCAACCCATAGAGAAAGTGGAGCTTGCAGCACCCAATACCAGACCCATGCCATAAAATGGTAACAGTCATAATAGGACATAAGAGGCCATACACATGTCTAAAAACAAGAGTGGATGAGGATGGTAAGGGTGCAATCAAGAAGAACAAACAGTTGTTCTGCTAGTGGTTGCCACCCTCTAGGTGTACAGTTAGATAGGCCTCAACCTCTAACACACCTGAGCCTAAAAAAAAAAGTGACTATTCCTCTAAAAGGAAATTGTTGGCAGAAACCTGACACACTCATCACATGTGTATATCCAAGCTAGGAGAGCAAGAGAGAAAGGCTGAGCTATTGTGACTAGAGAAAGCAAGGAAGCTACATATATGTTTCAACTGAACTAGCAACTAAAGAAAACAAAAAACTATATATACATCTCAAGCAAAACCTGTAAAAGGTACACTGAATACAGGAAAGATGTCCTGTGTGTGACAAATGCATGCCTTCCTAAACACATCCTCATATTTCTCAAAACAGGCACCCAGTGTCTAAGGTGTTACAGATGTCTCAATCATTCAATGTCTGTCTGGAGTTTTGTAAACAGACCATCACCGATACAGGCTATTGCAAATTTGCTCCATTGTTAAACAAATACCCAGAGACAGGTCTGGTAACCAATGCTTCTAGATATCCTGTTTAGCCACTCAAGACCCATCATATTTTAATTGACCTATAACTTCCAAGCTAGTCAGTAGCTGCAAGAAACACAGGCCTTCACACCTAGACAAATCTAAAAACAGAAGCCAGGCAATTTATCAATTGTAATGTAATGGTCCCTCTTCTCCTCCCCGTTTTGTTCAGACTTTAATTGACTAACCTTCAAGAAAAAATGCTTTAAAGCTATACAATTAAAACAGTATAAAGAAAAATACAGAACTGCCAGCAAGGTGCAGTCCAGGGAAGATCAAGAAGCCATCCTACATCCAGCTCACAAATGAAGGACCCACGCTCTGTGAAAGCTGACAAGAACGGCTTCCTGCCTGCTTCGGTAAAAATCTCTTGCAGCTAAAATAATATGAGGACTGTAATGGCTCGTATTGAATATTAAGAAAGTCTTTTTCTGTCACTTAATTTTATAACTTGTTGGTAGTTATTAAAGCAAGCTTTCCTGCTATTAATCCATGAGTGTTATGTTAAGTCTTAAAGCACTAGGTTTTAAATCTGGTTTGTAAGCACAACATAGTATACTACTCCCTAATTTTTGGCACTAATGGAAGTAGACCTGGTGGCTATCAAGGCTTGTTGACATTGCCTTTTCCATTAAATCTCTCTCATGAGTTCACAAAGCTGGGTCAGCACATGAAAGGTGACAACCATGTACAGATCCATAGCGGCTGATGTTGGTAGAAGCTCTGGGTCACTGGCAGCAGTGGCAGGCAGTATAAATGCAATGGAAATACAGATGGATGGTTGGGGACATAAATTGCACAGTAAAGCATACCAAAATCCCTCCCATAAAATTTTTGCCATCCATCCAGAGTTTGAACAACCAATGGGTGCTCCAGTGGGAGTCAAAGGGACCTAAGGACCCTAGACAAGTTGCAGGTATGTGTGCTGTTTCTGGCCATTTTCTGGTAGAAGTGCTTCAATGTGTTCAGCCACTCTTTAAATCTACTTTGAAGGGTGTAAGTGAATGAGCTAATTTAATGAGATCACCTGATTACATTACCATTGGGATTTGGTGCATGCTAGCTTCAAGGTAAAATGAGGAGGGAGGCTTGCTGGCCTAAAATGCTGTTGACCTTTGGTTGGCTGTGATTTCTTTGCATGCACTGTTCTGCTTTTTGCGGGTCATGGACAGACCAAGGTAATGAGCTGCCTGGCCTGGATTTGGTTCTGTATTATCATACAGTGGATGGCTAGCTCCATGTACTCAGCCACTGCCTCTTGGGAAGGCATGGCTTAATTGTCTCTAGCAGTGGGAATCCCTGCCTCAGGTTTATCCCTATTTATCCTTAGGTGGGATGCAGGACAACGGGTTTTGGGTTTGTCATGGATCCCCAGTCTTGCAACTCAACCACGCACAGTTTGTTGTCTTCAGGCTTTGCAGGTTTTCCCGGATCGAGTAACTGGTGGCCCTCTGAACCCTGCAATGACATCTTCTTTCTTTGGGATTCAGGTAAGTAGAGAGACTCCTCCGAGCCTCAGAAGGAGAGAGTTCCCTACTCTCCTCCTTTGCCCCTGCCAGGGCATAGTCCAAGCATTTTTTTCTGTTTATTCCTTCTGGTTCTCTGCCTGTCTTCCTCTCTCTCCTGCAGTTGTTGCTTGGTGCGTTTTTAAACTGCTCTCCGTCACGCACCCAGCCAACCAGAACTGACAGGAGCTGATAAATCTTGGTGTGTGTGATCTCCCCACATCCTGTTCTTTTAGTTCTTGTCTGCAGTGAGGTAAGTGTTTGTGCTTAGAGCAGCTTCTTCAGCACTCCTTATAGTCTTCAGGTTCCTTTCCCCAGGTACGTGAAACACCTTTAGGGTGGGCAGTGTGATCCTCACTGCCACAAAGGGTGACCCATGGACACACCAATCCCGTGCCTTCTCTATTCCAGGTTGAGTCATGGGACAACTGGTCCTGTGACAAATGCACCATCTGTTCATAGCCCTACATATTTGTACTCCTATTTCTCCTTACTTCTTTTATTGCCTTTTTGGACGTATTTTTTTCAGAAGATGAAAAAAATTCTTGATCCTATTCCATTTTGTATTATCTGTTCCTTCCTGTCTCTTCCTCTCAATCCTTTGTCTTTCTTATAGTTTGTGTGGAAATCTGTTCTACTGCTCTCTGCTGACACACGGGGACAGATTCTGATAGTTTTACTAATGCTAAGTGCCACCTTGCCCCCACAAGTATTCATTCACACTGGTTTTAAAGTGATTACTTGTGAAGTAAAGCACTACTCCTCATAAGAAAGATAATCAAACTTTGGTCCTAAGGCAACCCCTACTGAGTATCTCAGATCTTATCTTTTTCGGGGAGAATCACGTATGTGGAACAAAGTTTGCCATACCGTGAAAGACCTTTTCCCTCTGTGTGTTTATTAGGAATGAATCTTCAAAAACTACAGAACTTATGTGAATAATCTCTCTCCCTCCAGCTATTTGTTACTGGGTTTTTTTCCCTTTTTTTCAAAGACTCCACCACCAGTAAGTGTCCAGCAGCTGGTACTTCACAATAACCTGCAGTTAAGTGGGAGTAACTCTCCTAACAAAGGCTAAAGCATGGGTACACGAAGCTTTTACAGCTGAGAAAGACATTTTCAAATGCCTGGTTCCTAACCACTGTGAATAGTCAGTTGGGTAACAATGAACAGAGAAGTAACTTCACACAGATAAAACCCTGGCTTAAAATTTGCTTATAGCTTTGTGAAATTATCGTACATAATGTTCTTAGTAGGCCCCTAAATACCTATTACTTGTTTTCCTCATATTGGTATTACTTTTACTGAATTGCATATTAGGCAATTCTACATTTCCAACAGAGTAAAACTTTTTAGCTATTCATTATTTCTAATGATACAGAACAGAATTTGATTAATTCCCCTACTTAATTTTTCTAAATGCATTAGAAGCTTTAGAGGTATTGGGGAAAATCTGTTGGTAACAAACTATTTTGGAAAAATAATGAGATAGTAGAATTTCTGTAACTGATGCCTGTGGTTTTGGGATTAAATACATTTTCTTCTATTACCTGTGCAAAGTAACTGTGCCAGAATTCACTGGAGCTCTTATTGCCAAAGAAACCCCTCAAAGTCTGTTTTCATAATGTTTAAAATGCAGACTCATCCAAAGACAAAATGGGCCCATCAGGTAGTGTTAATGATGAAAAGCAGGACTGCCTCCAGGTGAATTAGCAATAGAAGTATGTGAAACATTTACTGTCGTCAAAGCCCTTCAAACCTTAAAGCTTATGGTTTATATATATATTTTTAAATGTTCTGATTTTTGTTTTAAATGAATGTAAAGATGTCCTCTGACTTATCAGAAAACAGAGCCATTTTTGAGAAAAATTTAAACCCCAACTTTGAAACAAAACTCTGTCATGGAGCTCAAAGAAAAGAAGCTATAGTCCTATCAGAGCTCAAGATTATTTCAAATTATTTCATGATTGAAACTGAGATGTAAAGTTAAAAATCTCAACATTTTTTGCATTCTTATAAACCTCAAAATATTCAAATGAAATGTCCAATGAAATATTTTGTTTTGAATATTTTGAATTCCATTTCAATGTTAACTCTTAGTTTTTTAATAATTACTGTTTTGAGTGAAAAGTTGTTTTGAATAAAACCAAACATTTTTCATTTAGGGAACAAAAGAGTACACTTGACAATTTTTTTTTTCAATTTTTCTAAAATATGTGACAATTCTTCTAACGGGATTCATTAAAATTATCCCCTTCCTATGAGGTGCTTTAATTTTGATGTTTTCAATAATAGGAACTTGAAAGTTAGTCTAAAAGTCCCCAGCTAACTCTGGCCATCAGCATATGTATCAAAATACTCACAAAGTCAAATTCTAGCTGTTTTAGTGGGGCCATTCCAAAAGGGCCAACCCCTGCCATAGGCAGATTTCAAATACTATCACAAACTTTGTATACCCTCCATTTGAGAACAAATGCATCCAGCTGGGTCAGAACGCAGCTATCGGTCCCTGATCCAGTTCCATTACTTTGAATGGAACGCCTGGCCCTGCTGTACTGTGCTGCTGACCGATTCAGCTAAAAATGCAATTTAAGATGCTATTTGTACTCTTTAGAATACTAGAAGTGGAACTCTTCCAAAACCTGGAGTATAGGCACTCTCACAGACCCCTACCTGTTTATATAGCCTCAGCACTGAGCTCTGAGGTCTTTTATTTGGCCAGTACTTAGAAATGAACTTTCCCAGGATGCCTTTAGTTAAAGGCTCTTGGCTCACTTGTTCTGAAAGTCATTCAGAAGATAATGTAAGAATGTATTTGTTCTTTAACCAGGCATTAATTTAATCATTTAATTAATTCTTTAACTTATCAGCATAGGAGAGGTCTGGTTCAAACTGGACATTGGTTGATTTAATTTAAACACTAATTAGGATGATCTGTAAGACTTGTAAATAAATATGCATTTCCATAAATGAGTTAGTGCTATAGAATATGCTACATGTCCAATTCATTTACTTACAATGAGTTTAGAAGTAGATTGATCATAGACAACATTTTTTACTTTTTTCTTTTATTTTTCTTTTATATTTATATATTTTTAAATATTATTATTACTTATTATACTTAGGAATTTCTTCTTAAACTTACAGGATAATAAGTAGCATATATTGAAAGTTGACTATGTTTTTAAGATTCACCACTGTCAAAATTGGAAGTAGGTCTGATTTCTCTTATAATGAATTATCCTAAGCAGACAGAATATGAGTTTAGGATGGACTAGGGATATATACATGTGAGTTACTCTCACAGGTGAAAAAAAAATTAACCTAACACCAAGAATGCTTCATATTCAACTGGTGGTGGTGGTGGGGGGGGGGGGGTTAAAAATTTTTTTT